GAGAAGGGGACCAAGGAGGAGAGTGGCGAGGCACTTACTGGCTATGGTAGACACCATCTTCATCTCCTTGCTAGGCGCTGCATCAGGAAGGCCCCAGTGGGGATAGTGCCGCATCAAGGACGCTCGGGACAGAGTCAGGCATGGTGGCTGAGTGGGCAGCGGCATAGCTGCTTGGTGATGACCTTGAAGTGGGGCAGCGGCATAGCTGCTTTGGTTTGTCCTTTGGACAGGAGGCTGAAGCCTCAATAGTCCGCCATAGCCTCGGCCTGAATGTAGAGGAAGAGGAAGGGTGGCCATGGCTATGGTGGACCTCATGTTGTGCCTGCAGTAGAAGTGGGATTCGGACATTGATTCTGGTTCAGTCATTCAACATTCTGGCTCAGTCATTCAACATTGTTATTTCTTGTTTGAATAAGAGGGAGTAAATAAGGAGGAAGGGATTGGTTGGCGGAGAAGAAGAGCCTTGACATTGGTCTATGCTGGAGTACATCATCATCTTCTTCTTTCTCACTTCTTCTTCTTTCCCTCTCTTTCCTCTCAAGTTCATTCATTTCTTTTTGCAATTGGATGGCATTGTACTTTCAGAGGAATGTATACTTCATATACTTCGAATTTGGCCAGGATCGTAACATTGGTATCGGAGCGGATTCTACTTGCTGGTGAGAGTTGACTTTGCTGCCATAACCCTAACCCTAGTGGTAAGGGCTAACCACTTAGGGTTAGGGCTGGAAGTTCGGGTTAAGTGGGGCAGCGTGGTAAAGGGAAGCTGCTCCCACCTGGCAGGGCCATGTAGGGTCGACACTAGACCCGACCAGGTTGTTTGAGTGCATGTTTGTGGTGGCGAGACACAAGGTGGGACTTCGTGATGCAATTTGAGAGAGGCGACAGTGAAGGGCACCTACGACTTGAATCTGGACTTCAAGGAAGACGAGGAGTGACTTTAGGGCTCCCCTCAAGTAGGCGAGCTTGAGGGTGGCAGCCATATCTGCACCTACGGACTGCAAGTTGCTGCTTTGATCTTCAACATCGACGGGGGATCCGGCTTTGTACTTTGGGGCAGATGTTGACCCTCCTAGACAATAGGACACTAGTGTAGAGGATGCTAATTGGGTCAGGAGGACTATGTGAGAGGGGGGTGAGTTCTTTTCATCTCAAGAGCCCGGCCACTCAGGTAAGTGTCGTGCCACCAGGGTGCCCATGTGTGTGTGCATGGAATTGACTGCCTGTTGGGGTTCTCTGGGTTCTTCTTTCATCCTCCATAGTCTTGATTGTGTGTGAGGTGTGTGAACTGCCTACTTACCTGACGAGTGAATGGATGGAGTATCTTGTTTGCCATGTGATATCTCTCTACAGTGCTTTGTTTACTTCATTCTGAACGGCTGTAGTCTACAGGTTCTTTCTGGGGCAAATTTTCGTTTTTCAATTTGGTAGGGACAGAGTAGGTCTTTGTAGAACTCTTGTTGGTTGGGACCCGGTTCTGACTCCACTGGGACCGTTTGGGACTCAGTGGGACCGGGCCCAAACAAGAAGGGCCCCTCAGGCCAAATCTGTTGACGTCAGTTACCTTGCTCTATCTGATTGGGACGCGGACTTTATGCTTTCGGACCAGGACACTCGCTGCGGAGGGGATCTCCGCTGTGACGTTTTATCAGACTTTACCGCACGATCCGCCGCCTGACTCGCACCGTGGACACCACTCAATTCTCTCTTGCATTACGCTATACACTTTGAATCTGATTTGCTGTGTCTTCACGGAGTCGAGTCCGGCTAGGCTTGGGAGGACCCCATACGTAGTAGGGCCAGACTGTGTGGCTGGATCAGATCTCTCTGATCTTTATTTCTTTTTTTGTTGTTTTGACTGCTCTCCAGTCCAAATGAATTGCCGCTCCGGCTAGGAGTTCTACCTTCTCTTCTGACTGATTTCAAGTTGTTTCTTTCATTGGGTTCATTAATGCCTGCGTCTACACGGTCGCAAACGAGAAAGAGAGAGAGAGAGAGAGAAGAGAGAAGCTTCTGAGTGTCGCTCTTGAGGGAGTGAGGAGAGGGAAGAGGAGTGTTCGTCCCAGACAAGTAAGGAAGTACGGACCTCTCTTGAGAGACTTATTGATTCCTTCGTCCTCCATCATGGCATCTGTAGCAGATTGGAAGCTGCAAATGGACACTGCCCCTGAGGCAGAGAAAGCGCAGTACCGATTCTTCTATGAGAAAGCATTGAAGAGGGAGGAGGAAGAGAAAGAGAAGGAGAGGGAGGAGAAGGTAAAGGCTCATGAAGCCATTTTCTGTACCTTGCCTGCCCTAACCGATGAGGAGGTGGGAGAGAAAACGGTTCCGCTCCTCCGAGCTTTGGTAGACGTCCGGGCTGTTGAGGACCATACTGGCCAACTCGCCAAAGTATTCGACGAACTCAAAAAGTTGCGGGACGACATGACCCTGATAGCGCAGCAGCACCGTGACCAGCTGCAACAGTTCGCTAATTGTGCAACCAGCCTAAAGTATCCTTCCGCCTGCTTACCCTGCTTCTAGTGCTGCGTGTCAGTCCGTTCTTGCCCCTCTGAATGTGTCTTCTTCTACTTCTTCTTCTTCTTTGAGTGTGACTAACAGCCTATCCGGATCTGCAGCAGGTCCAGACCCCGCTGCTGCTGCTGCTGCTGCAAGTAGTAGTGCAGGGCATTCTGGAACTGTTGCAGTCCCGAGTTCGGACCCAGCAGCCGCTGGTCCAAGTTGCAGCTTTTCCTATATGGATAGAAAGGCCGCCCAGATTCCGTCTAAGTATGACGGAAAGGACGACATCGAATCTTGGATCAGCTCCATGCGATCCTACTTTGATGTGCTGGGGACACTCCCAATTACTCAGTCGTCGGTCCTAGGGACCAATGTGGAACCCGCCGTGAGAGGATTCTTGGAAATCCAAGTTGTACAAGCAGGCTATAAAAGGATAGACCTGAACAAATGGCTGAAGGCTACACCGGTAGCCACACTCGAAGAGCTCTTGATCAAACAGTATGTTGATCCACATGCTGCAGCCAAGGCTAGACTCAAGCTTGACAAGCKCAAGCACAGCAAGTGGACCGGCACCATGCACAGCCTGCAGCAGTATGTTAGTAAACTCTTTGCTACTCCGGATCTGGAGATGACTGCGCAATCCTGTCTGGATGTGATAAACGGTACGGTCCCCTCTACTATAAAAGATCGCCTAGGGCTCGGACTCAGCGCATATACAGATTGGCTTACCCTCATGTGGGACTTAGTCAAGCTGGAGGCACAAGACCTCCCGGGTGGATCAAGTGGCAAAAAAACCACCGGCCACAAACGGTTTACAAGCAGCAACCGTTTTGCAGCACATGATCTGTTGGAGGCTGACGAGGAGACCCTCGTGGAGGGATCTTCTCTTGATGACGATCAAGAGCAAGACTGCGGGGCATCTTGCTCTTTGTCAGCCCATGAGTCTGAGTATGTGAACGACGAAGAATCTATGAACGCCTTCAAAAAGACTGCCTTTAAAAGTAAGGGACCAAGGACCACAATGAAGAACAATACTAACACCATTCTTCTTCCCAAGGGAGCAAAAATTCCACCCAAACCGGAAGATCCTGCCACCAAACCATGGGTAGATCTCCGGATTAGTGAAAGTGAGTGGAAACACAGGGTGAAGAAAGGGGTTTGTCTGCATTGCATTAAACCGGGACACTCAGTCCAACAATGTTTCAGATTGCAGCAGGGAAACCAGCAACGGGGGTAGAGACATCATCAGCACACTCTACAGATGGAGAGGCGAAACATGTAAGTACAAATCCTTCTCTGGATTCTGATCCCACTCAACAAAGCTCTCCTGAAACCCCATCTGATGATGATTCCAAGGCTGAGAAGATACACATCCTATACAAGGAGCCTTGGGTAGAGTTGGAAGAAATTGACTTCCATGCTCTGTTGACGCACTGGGCTCATATGAAGCAAGAGCGCGCGCAAGGGAGAACGAAGTTGATCTTCTTCAAACTCTACATAAATGGTC